TTGACGTGAAGACGACCTTCCAAATAAAGTGATAATTTTATGGTATTTTCCAACACCACGAACACGACCGCCATGCTCAGATGTTCCAATGGCTGCTGTTAAGATATTGTTACGTCCATCCAGAACAAAGGCACCCTTTTCAGCTTCCCTAACTAGAGAATCCTACAAAATGCAAAAACCAAAACTAATTTCAATAGTTTTTATCAATTACGACTATAATGGTACTTGAAGTATTTTCTAAAATTTACTTACAATTTTCTCAGCAACAACTTGTGTAGACTTTGATGTGTATTCTCTCCCTTTCTTTTGTCGTGCTCTCTTCCATACTTCATGGCGTGACAGTGGAGATGGACTACCATTATCATCTAATGTGGAATCATCTCTCGATGATCTCCTTTCATTTTTCAATTTCTCCTCAAGCAAGTGATACCCTCCACGAGATAATACGTGTGGGTATACATTCCTGATAGGCTTAAAATATATTGTTTATTTGACTCGATTTCACGCACGTTATTTAGTATTTTATTTCCCTTTTCTTGTATTATGCCTTTGTTTTGTTTCTTTTTCAGGTTTTTGTATTTTCAAAGCTACTCGAGAAGAAATGAATAAAAACGAGCTGAAAACCCTACTTTCTGAGGAATTATACACATGGCTTCCACCATGGCGGATGCCATAGGGGATGCCACACATTGGATAGAAGCCAACTACTGACAACTGCCACGTCTCCCACTCCTTTCCACCCTAGTTCATGTGGCGGGCGCCACAAGAGGGTGGCGGACGCCACCTTCACACGACCATTTCCCTCCCAAAAAGAGTTGGGGACATTCCTGTCTTTACCTGTACTTTCCTACCACTATAAATAGAAGAGTTATGTTTCATTTCAAATCATCCAAGCTTAGAGAACAAAACTCAAGCCATAAATTTCACCTATTGTAAAGTGATAAACTTCTCACATCGAGGGGTTATCACACTGTGCAATCGAGTTTGTAATCGAGTTTGGAGCACTTGGGTAGAAGTTAAACCTGCCGCCATTTTAATTCAGTTTTTTTACTTCCAGTTGTACAAGATTTTAAAGCCTCTCGTTTAGAGCAGGTTTCTGTCTATTTATTGCCTTTTATTTATTTACCCACCTTTATTTCCCACATCGTTTATTTCTCGCACCACACTTTATTTATTTATTTACCCTCACTTTATTTACTCGCATTTATTTACCATGTCCGGCTAAATCTTAAAGGTTAGGATGCGAGGATTATAGTTATAATTAGTATTCCACACATTTGTCGGTAGAATTACTTAGGGTTTGTTTTGACTTTTAACACTTATTTTCTGTACTTAAAATCTGTTGGGTAAGATCAAAAGCCGTCCAACCTTTAGATAAATTTGGTTAGTTCTGATTGTTCCAAGGAAGCGAAAGTGCTTGGCTCAGTCAATTAGGGATCTTTAACGTTTAAGAAAACCGATTTTAAAACTATTTTCAGACGCGTTTATGGATTTAAAGTCCGGTTCGCAAGAACCTCTTTTTGTTAGAAATTCCAGGTTAAAATACTTTTCGACTAAGTCAAGAAACTATATTTCTTAAAAATAGGTTTATTAATCCTAACGCAATGCGCACCTTTTTATAAGTGACAATAAGAGGGGTCGATTAGGGATAAACTCGGTTCTGAATACGCGAAAGCGACAGTTCCCGTTAAATTAGTTCTTTTCATGAGTAGAAAATATTACCCCATAAGAAATCCTATATGTACACATCTGGAATACTAAGTAGCTATATGAATTGCATCTATGTCTGTTGCTTTATTATTGAATTTATTTTCGCATTTTACTTTTATTCCGCAAAACCCAATCCTTTATTTGATTTGCCTTAGATAAACACCGTAACAATAGTAATCGATAGATTGACGTTTGATATCTGTGGGATCGATAATATTTTATATTACTTTGACGCTATTCGTGCACTTGCGAATCGCCCATCAAGAAGAAGAATGCTGAGTTTTTGGCGGTAGTTTAAGGGTTTAAGGAAGAAGAAGAAGATACAAGATGGCGGTAGTTTAAGGGTTTAAGGAAGAAGAAGAAAAATGAGGACATTTAAGGGAATGAAGCGAAGAAGAAGAATGCTGAGTTTTTGAGAATGTTATGTTTTCGGGTAGGGTTTGGGCTTTTAAGGAAGATTTTACATCAGTTGGCAAGTGGGCCATGATGACGCAAAAGTATATCGTTTATTTGACTCGATTTACATGAATTTATTTGCGATTGTTATTTTATCTTAATTTATGTTATTTTATAAGGTTAATTCACTATGTTTTGCAGATTATGGAGAAATAGGATTAAAGAAAGAAAACAAGAAGAAAGACATAAAATGGGGGAAAAGACAGATAGTAGTAGAGAAACCAATTTTGTGCGTGTGATGCTCGTCACAGTCTCCTCATGGCCGTCACAAGATCGTCACGATCGTCACGTGTAACACGGTCGTCACAAGAGTGCCACGACCGTCATGAATCCAATATCAGAATAACGTTAAACACAGAAGTGACCACGCGCACGTTCAACTTAATTTCTTCCTACACTTTCTCCACTAACTGTCTACTACAGGAAGTTACTCCCATTTCCTCCATAACTCACGCATGATCTCTGGAAGTTGAGAAATGAAATATTTCCTATAAATAGGCCAGAGATTGACAGAACAAGGGGGTTGGATTCTACATCCCGAAGGGCTGCCAAAGTTCTATTGAAGATGTTTTTCTTGTTTCTTTTATTTTCTTCCTTTGTTTCCTTTAGTTCAGAACATTGTAATTTCTTTCTGCAATTTTATTTCGCCAAAGTAGAATCCTGCCGACATTGTGGAGGACTACTCTTCAATTTCAGTACTACTTTCCAGGTTCTTATTAATTGAATTATTACTTTATTTTCTGTCATAATGCATATTTTATTACTTTGTTGTTTATGTTTATTTCGGTTTGCATTAATTATCATGTCTAGCTAAATTAGTTTTATCGGTATGTAATCGAATTAGTAGGATGAGATTCGATAATACCCGGTGCACCTTCCCTTTTACAAACACCTTTCTGGCCGTAGTTTTTAATCAAAATCTTCTAAATAAACCTTCGTCGCGAAAGCGAGAAATTATTTACGGTAGTTTTGCCACGAAAGTGGGAAATTCATTAAGGCACGAGCCGGCACGCGAAAGCTGGGGTTCGAACCAGATAGTAAAAACTAGGCATTGATTTTAAACACAGCGAAAGCGCTTTAAAAGAAATCAGAATTTACTTATTTTCAAAAAGTAGTTTAAACCCCGAATGGGACTGCGAGAGCGTACATTCCGCCTTAGAATTATGACCAGAGTCAACAACCATCGTGAGACAAAGGTCTTTAAACGAGTATCTTCTCCTAAAAAGTGTTTGCAAAGACTAAAAAGCACCGACGACCTGTCGAATCCCCGAAAACTAAAGCATTGCATACCGATATCCCTTTACCGCTCTTTCTTAAACCAATAATCTTTATTTCCGTTGTATTTAATTTCATTCACATTTAACTTTCTTAATTCCGTTAGCCTTAGCTTTACGCCGCGACAATAGATAACGATAGATTGACATTGGTCTCTGTGGATTCGACAAATCTTTTATATTACTTCGATATTTTCGTGCACTTGCGGGCGTATCAGGCCGATGTAAAATCCTTTAACATAAAATATTTTACACCGGTTTCTGTTAATGGACCGATGTGAAATCCATTAAAGGCCTGACACATTTTACATCAGTTGTAATTAAAGGACTGATCTAAAATCTTTCAAAACACTTTTTACATCGGTTAGGATAAATGACCCGATGTAAAATGTTTAATCTATTTATTTATTTTTTATTGAGAACTTTTTATATCAGTTGAGATAAATAATCCGATGTAAAATCTTTTATAACAAAATTTCTTATTATTTACGAAACTGTCGCCGCGTTATTTTTCACATCAGTGGAAATACATGTCTGATGTAAAATGCTTAAATCAAATATTTTTCACATCATATTGTTAATAATATGATGTAAAATTCTTTGACAAATATTTTTCATATCATATATCTTAAAATCTAATGTAAAATTATTTAATCAAATATCTTATTTTTAGTAGTGCATCAAGAACGATAGGAACATTACAAAGAAGTATTGACGGTAATCACTATAAAAGGTAGCAAAAATAAGTTGTTATAGTGATCAAAATGAGTGGTGTGGTTTGTGGAAACTATACAAGTGGATTTAACCATTTTATTAGACTTCTCTGCAACATAAAACAAGTATAATTAGTATATTCATCTCTTTTTTATAAAAGGCTTAATTGCAATTTTGGTCCTTCTGTTTTCATTTTTTTTGAGTTTCGGTCCCCATATTTTAAAATCCAGAATTTTTGTCCCTCATTTTTTAGTTTTTTTGAGTTTTGGTCCCCCTATTTTAAAATCCAAAATTTTGGTCCCTCTATTTTTATTTGTTTTTAGTTTGGTCCCCTATTTTAAGTTTTATTTTGGATTTTGGTCCCCGTTTCCAAATTGAAACAAATTTAATAGGGGATCAAAAGTTTTAAAAAAATGAAAATAAGGGCACCAAAAATAAAATAAAAATAAAAATGGAGGGACACAAATTTCAGATTTTAAAATAGGGGGACCAAAACTCATAAAAACTGAAAATAGAGGGACACAAATCCTGAATTTTAAAATAGAGGAATCAAAACTAAAAAAAAATAAAAATAGGGGGACCAAAATTGCAATTAAGCCTTTATAAAATTATTAAACATTATCTTTAAGACCATTAGTTAGTTTTACACTAAAAATAATTTAGTTGTTTTGTTATGCTATTGGGTTGAATAATAATTTATGATTATTATGACCATAAATAAGTACTCTATTAAAAATCAGAAATAACATGTGAAAGCTACCTACATCATTGAAATTTGCGTAAGCGAGCGAGACTTGTATGAGTCAATCGGAAAACCAACTGATTTTTCCATTTCAGACATAAAAAATGGGTTGGGCCATAGCTCTACACGGCGGCGCCGGCGACATTCCATATTCACTTCCCCCGGAACGCCGCCTACCACGCGAAGAAACCCTCCGTCACTGCCTACAAATCGGCGTCAAAGCTCTCAAATCCAACATGACTCCTTTAGACGTCGTTGAACTTGTTGTATGCATTCAATCATTCACGTACTTATCACTTTCTTCTGTTTTTTACTTTCATGATAAAGATTCTAATAATCATTCATCTAGGTTCGTGAGTTAGAGAACATTCCACACTTCAATGCTGGAAGAGGCTCTGTTCTCACCAACAAAGGGACCGTTGAAATGGAAGCTTCTATTATGGATGGTAACACTATGAAATGTGGTGCTGTTTCTGGTCTTACCACTGTTGTTAATGCAGTTTCTTTGGCTCGATTGGTTATGGATCGTACTCCTCATATTTATTTGGCGTTTGATGGTGCTGAGGAATTTGCTAGACAACAAGTTGGTTTATTTCTTTTCTCATCGTGTTTGCATCAATTTATTTGAGTTTATCTTATGACAAAAATTTTGGAAATAGATAACTTTTTGTCACAGTTTAAAAAATGTCAAATTTTGAGTCTTGTGCGATAGCTCTATTTTGGACACTCTCAAAGACGGCCTTGGTTTTAATAATTGTAGCTTGTGGCTCATTTTCATTTATGATCATGCATCCTTATTTTTCAGGGGGTTGAGACTTTAGATTCAAGCCATTTCATCACTCCGGAAAATATTGAAAGACTAAATCAGGCAAAAGATGCGAATAGGGTCCAGGTATTTGATTTTTCATAGGAACGGTTGCATATTTATGTTACGTTAATTAATCTCATGTTTGATAGGTTATGTTCTTGACAAATATATAGATTGATTATACCCAACCAAGCCAAAAGGATACTATAAAGAATGAAACAGAAACATCATTGGCTAATGGTGATAGTCAAATTGGAACGGTTGGATGTGTAGCTGTTGACAGTAATGGGAATCTAGCTTCTGCAACATCGACCGGTGGATTGGTGAACAAAATGGCTGGTCGAATTGGTGACACGCCTGTCATAGGTGCTGGAACATATGCCAATGAATTTTGTGCAGTTTCTGCAACAGGAATAGGTGAAGCAATAATCCGCGCGACTGTAGCAAGAGACGTGGCTGCAATGATGGAATTCAAAGGCCTTTCTTTAAAGGAAGCTGCGGATTGTGTTGTACATGAGCGCACACCAAAGGGCGCTGTTGGTTTGGTTGCTGTGTCTGCTTCAGGTGAAGTTGCAATGTCTTATAATACAACAGGTATGTTTAGAGCATGTGCTACTGAAGATGGGTATTCTGAAGTTGCAATTTGGCCAAATACCAAAGTTGAGTGATTTAGAGAGTTTTCTGATTTGCCAACTTAATTTACTGTGACATTTTTGTTGATGATTCATGTATGGTTATATCATACGGATATGTATTTGCTTGTTAAACATTACCCTGCTTTGCTATTATTTGTCATATAAATGTTTAATGTATGCCCTTTATTTTAGAAATGTACACGAAGCTATGGTGTAATAGAATTCTCCATTTCTGAATCTCTCCTCATTACTAACACTTGCAATATGTAGAAAAAGAAAACTGTATACTTTTTAGGCAAAAGGGAAGTTGCATACTCCAACAATTATTTGATCATAGCTTTCATTAGTTAGTGGTGTGTCACACCACATGCGTTACAGAACCACTTCCATTAATAACATTGTCCTACTTGAGAGAAAGAAGTGCGTGCCACCATAAAATGAAAGAACACTCTATTTTTTCCTGTTTGAGTAATCATGTACAAAACACAGTTACTAAGCACAAAAGTGCAGTATACCACTAACGAGAAAGGGTGGCATTTGGTGATTAATACACGTTAAAGGATGAAAGGTGATAAATAGACGTCAAAATATATATATATATATTTAAGTTGACAACAAAACACATCTATATGGTTATGTTATCTTGTATGGATCAAAATTGAAGATTGGAATTGCTATCCTGTTGTGGTAATTACTTTTTCCGACGTTTTGGTTTGTTCTTTAATCCCTGTTTTGTTTCCTACCAGATCTGGATCTCTCCCACATCTATCTCTCATTCACCTATTTCATCTTTATGCCTCTGTTATGCTTTTCTCATATTTTTTATATTAATTCTCTTTCGACTCATAAATTTTTTAGATCGAATCCCCCTAACCCTACAACCTCTATGCAAGGGAAACAAGATTGACAGAAGAAAAATAAATGTGTGAAAAAAAGGATGTACAGTAAAAGAAAGTGAAAGCCTATGGGATAAAGAGAAAGGTGAGTGGAATTATGGATCCTCTCCTTCAAATGCAAGAAACTACAATCATTCACAATTCATTCATTGGTTCAAAACCTTTAAATGAAGAATGAAATGTTCATATTTTAAATGAGTCATATGATATTCATTTCAAATGAGTATTCAATTTGAGTGATTGAGTAATATTTTGACTGCAATGAATCAATGTGGTCAAAAACTCCCACATGCTAATCCAAACACAAGCAAATGATGCCAATTTCTTAAGAGGACAACCACACCCAACTTAAATATTGTTTACTTTGGCTTGGTAAATAAAGATCCGGTGCGCCAGTAGCAAGAAGTAGCTATAAGATTTCATTAAAACATTTCATTAAAGCAATAGCAAGAGGTAGATATAAGATTTCATTGAAGATCCGGTTAACCAATAGCAAGAAGTAGCTATAAGATTTCATTAAAGCATATCAATGAAAAAAGAGAAGAAAAAAATATGTTTCCATTCGATTACATTGCTATTTGAAAGAGCTGATAAATTATTACAAGTTTTTCTAAAGAACAATCATTCTACTACTTGCAGAAGGGGGAAAGATAGCCCCACCAACCAAAAATGGATTTTCCCACATCTCTTCACCTAATGCATATCAATTTTTTTTGTATTGTATAAGAAATCATTTCGTTCTCTTTGAATTCTGATTTAAAAGAAAAGCAAGAAAAGAAAAAAGAAGGGTAAAGGAAAAAAATTCCTACCACAGTCAAAATTTTCTACTTCTTACTCTGCAGTAAGGCAACCACCACAGATCAAGAGTTTAAAATAATCTGAGATTGCATAATCCATCAGAAATCTAGAAGTGCATTTCAACTCAGGACACAATTTTGAAGATGAGGGAGACTTTGATTTATGTACTTGTCCCACAGTGGCTTATACCTGCCTATAGCTACCTTCAGCCAAGGCTTCATGTTCCCATTGAAGTGAATAACCGCAGCACTTTCAATAAGGCGGTTGTCAATATTTAGGTCATAACCCAATCCTAAAACATGCCATCTTCTGTCAAGTGGCTCTGTCAAACCATAAAAACTCAGAAGAGCAGGAGGAAGTGTGCCCAACTTCCAGAGAGTCCTATCGGCATTCTGCTCCTGCCAATAATGATATCTTGCCGTCACATTAGTCTTCCTCCATGCCACCAAGTCAAAAACGTTCATACCAAATGCCCATGCGCATGCCTGTGGATCAAATCTCGAGCTTATAATTGAACTTGAGAAGTTGAGATACTTGTAATATCGATGAAATGCTTCAAGACAAGTTTCAACTGCACCATTCACATTCCCATGCAAATCCAGTGAGAAAAGAGGGGTCAGATCTTTTTGGACAACAAGATCGTCATCCAGAAAAACAATCTTCTCAAGTTGTGGATAAATCTCGGGGATATAAAACCGAAGATGATTCAATAAATATAAATACTTGGGATTCCGAATTTTTGGTTCAGCGTTTACATCTTGATATAGCCCAAAGTAGAAGGCTCGTGAGTCAGGATTGAGGAGCTGTTTGACAACTGGAGAATAAGATGCATTCAACCAACGGAACTCCTCAATATTCTGTACCTCTACAGTGGCTCCTTTAAAGTCATTACTAAGAAACCATGCTTGCATTGCTCCGTAATTGATTCCATTGGTGACAATGTGAAAGACCAATTGCTTTGGATGATCCGCATTGTAGACGGTTGAGTTAATAACTACAGATGTTGCCAGTACATTGTCTGAAAATAAACAGAAATGATATAGATTGTTGTCCGTGAGCCTTGGGGAGTTTTTCCTCTCATCTGAGAGTTTCTGTAGGGATGGCACCTTGAGCCAGTCAGTCACGAGTTTCACATTCAGGCAATGTAGACTCTTGGGTAGTGCTTCAGCTGCTAGTTGACCAAACACAGCGCTTTGAACTGTTGCTGCATTGGCGCGCTCTTCAAGTGCTTGAATATGAGATTTCATAGTCACTATGGTAGTTGCAATGTCATAATGGATATCTTGTGCCTTAAAAATTAGAGCAGTGAGACTTTTAATAATCGGCTCTGCTTCTTCCAGTGTGACAGGCTCCCCAGTCATGGCAGCTTTTGAAAGCAAAAGTTGGCAACTTCTGATCTTTGAGCTAAGCTGCCAGGCAAGGTGAAGATTATTATGTTCTTTGGCAATAACCACATAAGCCTTGGCCAGAATCATCTGTTGCGCTAACTGCCGAGAAAATGATGTTACACTTAAAATTTCTTCAGTAAAATTCAAACTCTCTTTGGCAAAATGTTCAACTCTTGCATTCCTCTCCTGCAAAGGAAAGTCACCTCCTCCATAAGAACCCATAATGTTGAAAACAAAGGAATGATTTTAATGAGAAATAATGACGCCAACCAACTCAAGAATAATGACGGTAATTCAGTCCTATAACTTGCAAAACATAACAGTCACAGCAGTGTGAACTATTGTAGCATTAATAGCTAGAAATATATCTCTTCTATCGTAGCTTCTGTTTATAGACGTGGATAAGATGTATGAGACTCCGAGCTCTCTTTCATTTCAATCAGTATTAGGAAATTTTCATGCATCAGTCGGTAATAAAAATTCATTATTTTACACTCAAGATTATCTAGGCATACTTCCGCACATCTACTCCCGAGTGATGACCAATCACTCGCCTTTTGTTTAGATATCATCCAGAAACTTAGTATGCAATTAAATTTGTATATCATTTATGCATACATACAGACACGAGTTCGTATAAATCACACTATATTTAGGAAGAAATTTCTGGAAAAAAGAGTGTTAATAGCATTTCTCTATAAATTCTACTGAATAATTGAAAACAAAGGAAATTTAATACTCCTGGATAACAACAAATATTAACAAATAAAAAAAACTTAACAGTTGATACATAATGATGAGAAGAAAATCATCTTCCCGATGTAACTGAAATTCTGGAAATAGGTCAAATGAACAGAAGAACATGATAAACATAAATGAAAATCCAACGGTTCCATGAGATTAATCTTCCTCCTAGGAAATGAACCTAATGACTTTTTGATCTAGAACGAAAACAAATACTAGTATAATATGAAATCACAATCAAAATAAAGATGAAAATGAAACGAATAGAGCAGAAAGAATTAGTAAAGTAGGAGAAAGTGGCGGTGGTGCTTACGAGCAAAGAATATTGAAGCGGATCTTGATGATGATTATGTTGAATGATGAACAAAACGGTAGCGAGAATGAAGGAGAAAGCGAGAAGAAGGCAGATCCAATACGATAACCTCCGTCTAACCGGGCGCCGATAATCGGCAGCCCGTCGTCGCATTTTTCAGTTCACGGCAGCGATGGAGAAGAAAGCATGAAACGAAACGAGTGTAAAAATGATGGAAGAGGTGGAGATTTAGTTTAGTGTGTAAAATAATAATAAAGAGAAAGAGATAGATGAACTGCGGGTTGGTCTATTCTATTCCGTGAGAACTCTGAATTGAATCGAAGAAAGGGAAACATGCCTTGCTGTTGCGACTCACTTTCTTTTCTTTTTTTTTTTAATTAATATTAGTAAAATGGAGTTTAATACTAGCCCGTTTCATTATAAATGTCGTTATAGTAAATTAATTTTATATTATCCATTAATCATTATTTATTATGATATATTTTACTAAATTAAATTATTAATTTTCAAATTGATGATATGATATAGTTGAGTGATGATTTTATATTAAATGATAGCTTAAAACTATTTAATATTATAGTGTATAATCATTAAATTTAAATAAAATTATTTTAAAAATACCATTTTTTTTAAAATAAAAATAGTTCCTTTTTTTCAATTTTATTTATACAACATTAGTTTCAAAACATTATATTTTTCAATATTTAAAATGAATGAAAATTTTTAATAATATTTTAAATAATTATTATAAATTAATTTGACATTTTTGATTTATTTGGCATATAATATATCTGGGTTTATATATAAATCTGTTACATCAGTTATTAAATAAATAAAAAAGTTTAAATTTATTTTTAATAATAATTAAAAGGAGTATAAGATTAATTTAATGGATTTAAAAAATAATAATTTTAATGCATTTTTTTAATGAAACACTCGTTTTTAAAATGAAGGAACATTAAAATTTCATTAATAAATTATTTTTATTCTTGATTTTAAAATTCAATAAATAAAGAAATAAAAAAATCTCGAAACTTGATGTGATGAAACCCAAACAGAAGATCCCTCCACATGACTGCATGTGATATATTATGACATGGCACTACCTCCTTAAATTAATTTACTCTGACATTATTATTAAATATATTTGATTTATGTTTTTATTACACTACTATTCATTCATTGTTTGTTTGGAGAAAAAAAAAACTTTAATAAAGAATAATTAATATAATTGAAAATTTAGACAAGATCGTATAAAAAGAGAAGCGCATCATAAAATTCTTATATTTATAGCAAAGGTAATATTTGTTTATTTAATATATAAGTGAATGTCAATTAATCCACTCCCACAACACTATAAATAATATTCTTAAAGAAAAAATAAATTGCTTTCAACAGGAAAGACGACTTGTTCCGTTGACTTAATTTTCATCTTTATTATTAATTTTTTTTTGTCATATTGAATTTTTTAACATATTTTTGTATTTTTTAAAATATATTTTATCACCGATTCTAAGAATTATTGATTTGAGTTCTCTTAAATCAATTAAGTCTTTTGTCAAAAATATCAACAATGTGTGTAATATATCTAAGTCAACTCTTGATTTCTTGTGTTTAGGGGAATAGACTAATCATCTCAATCCCAGAAAAAGAATGTAAATTAAGAATGAAAGTTTATAAACACAATTTTCATGAAAGAATAATTTAGCCAAACTCTAACCATAATTAGCTTTCACCTGAAACTAACTTTTTTTTGGAATCTATCAAAAAAACAGGGCATCACTTTTTTGAGCAAGCATTTTTTTTCTATTTCTCCTTTTCATGTTTGGAAGGTGTACATAAGGTTTGTTGTGTCAAGTTATGGAATCTAAATTCTGGTCTTTTGAAAAAAAAATTCTTACCATAAATTTTAGTCTCTCTACTCTTAAACAAACTTCTACTCAAGTGTGGATAAAGATATATGATTTATCCCAAGATTATTGGAGGCCAAAAATAATCTTCATTATTACCAACAATATTGAGACACTAATTTGCATTGAATCTGCTTCAAACAAATCTTCATTCGTCTGGGCTTTTATGCATTATGTTTGGTTTCATGTGGATTTATACTCGGTAAAATATTTGAGTTATAAATACTAGTTGAAAGGGTAGGTTTTTCCTTTCTTTTTTTTTGAAATTGTGTTGTTCTTCTGGTTAGGTGCTTTAGGTAAAATAACATTTGTTATACAAGATGTAAATTGTAAAGAGACCTTTTGTGAGCCAAAATGTTCATGTGTTCCAGCATTTGGCTTCAGTATGTAGCCAATGATCATGAGTAAATCTGATCGTGATTTTGTTTGATTCTAAGAAGGTTGTTAATTTAAATTATATTAGAAAAAAAATTATTAAATCATAATCCATAAATGCCGAAGAAGATTTAATTGGTTATGGTTTAATTGAAAGATTTGGATTTTGTTTAAATAAAAAGATTTGATTTTATTGGATTTGCATTGAAGAAAAGATCAATTTGAATATGCATTGTGCAGAATTTGATAGGCAAAGATTAAAGATTTATATTCTATAAATAATCTTATTGGATTTGTTTTTAATTACAATATTTAGATTTGCACTTAAGGAGAAAATCTCCAATCTCTATTAAAGATGATTTAAAGTGTGGTTCAGTTTTTAGCAAGCGAATTGTTCTTAATCCTTTACTCGAGAAGTTGAAATTATGATTTATATCAAGTAAATATTGTATTAGATTTGTTCAAGATTCATAATTCGGTTACAAGGACAGATGTCATACCAAATGTTCCAATGATCTCCCAGACACCTGTCTCGGACTGGTTACTTGGAGAGCAAGATAAATTTAAGTATATCTTTTCCTTTTAAGATTTTTCGTTATCTTTTAGCAATGTGTTAATTAGATTTATTTGGCATATTGAATAAGATCAAATTTAATTATTTAAAGATTTAAGTTTGAATCAAAACAAATCAAATTTTTTTGTTAGAGATTTTTGAAAAACAAATCAAAACAGAATCCTCTATAAATCTAGATGTGATCAAATTTTATGCCTATTGGAGAAAAGCAGAGAAGTAGGATTGCTATTTAAGGAGACTTAAGCTCAACATTTGGAGGGAATACAATATTGAAGATATAATGTTCAAAGGTTTAGTTCTTTGAGTCTTTGTAATTTGTTGTTTTTGTACACCTCTATAAGAAGCCTAAATTGAATAGTCAAGGCATATCAATTGATTATTAGTTGAGTTGTAATTCACAATCCATAAATTGTTTATTGTATTGATAACTGAGATTAGTAGTTGAGAGAAACTGAAAGGAGTTCTCATATTTAGGGAGAGTCCTAACTAGAAAGACACAAGTTGTGTAACACCCCGAATTCGATTAATTAATTTAATCGAATTTATTTATGTTTTATTTAATTATTTAAATTAATTTATATGCTTTTATTTGAATAATTGGTATACGTGCCTTGGTGGGTATTGGAGAGAGTTAAGAGAATGGTAGAAATTAATTAGATTTATTTTAAGTTGAGTGGAGTAATTAAAAATAAATAGTTGTAGAATTATAAGTGAAATAGTAGAATTTGGTGGAAAAGTGAATTATTAGAAATTAAAATAAAAGAAATTAGAGTTAGTAGGAGGAGAAGGGGCAAAATAGGGACTATGAGAGTAAGTCGAGGGTAATAAGGGAATATAACCTAATTAAGGAGAATTAGGTTTTGGTTTAAATAGAAAATAGTGAGGACTGGACCTTGATATTACGTATTATTTTGGAAAACAAGAGAAAAAAGGGCAAGAGAGTCAACCTAGGGTTTAAGGAGAAAACACTGTTATTGAGGAGCTTAGAGCTTGCTTTGCGGGAAATCCAATGTAAGAGGGAGATTATCCCCCAATGGGTGTATATTATATGAAGGATAAAAAGGGATCATCACCCTTTTCTAGATTTTTTTTGGATTTCACCATTGTTGATATGTTCATGTGTTCTTGATGAAATTTATGCAAATTGTGTGTCCAATTGTTATGATTCATGGTTTAATTTGTCTGTTATAACCTGTTTAATTGTTATGAGATTGTTATATGTTGTTAAATTCATGAATGATATGGTTGGATGTTATAATGTGAATTGGTGTGTTGTATGAGGGTTTGGGGATGGGGAATATGAAGTAAACATGTTGAAAACTGGGATTTTGGTTGATGTCAATCGATTTCACGCGTGAAAAATTAGAAAAGAACTATGTCAATCGATTAATTCATTTAATCAATTGATTTCTCTTAGCCAAAACGTGAAAAATTGGAAAGGCATGATATAATGAGGAATAATGTGAATTGATTGCCCCTAAATGTCAATCAATTGATGCTAGTTGAATTTTGAAAACTTGTTGAGCTGAAACCTATTATTTTATTCAATCGTTTTTGCCGTAACTTTAGTTCTGTAAATCCAAATGAGGTATGTTTTGAAGTGTTGAAAAGCTAACGCGTATGGATATCCCTTAGAATTAAGAGACTAGAATTTATGAAAATTAATTGTTTTACTTGTTATGTGATAGTTGACGATAACAGACGAACGATTAATTATTGCAAATGAATTAACGAGGAAGCAACATTAAGATGATTTAACATGATTGAGTTATGTGTGGATGTTTATTCGTTGTGTGAATATATGATGTGCAGTGCAAGTATAATTATGTGAATTGTTGTAATTACTTGCTGATGATTGTTGAGATGCGTATTTCAGAGTGAGAACTATTGTTGATGCGTTAAATGCATGTTTGTTTATAAGTTTTATGTGGGGTTGTAATCATTGTTGTATTGTTGTTGTTGCATGATTGTTTGCATTCAGAGGTGGGGCTGTAATTATTATTGTGTTGTTATTGTTACATTATCATATGTCATGCATTATATGTTGTCATTGTTGTAAAAAAGGCGAGTCACAAATTCAGATGTGGGGACTTGTGATTTGTCCCAAGCTCAGAAAGGGGGTTTGGAGCTCAGATAAGGGGCTTGGGGTTCAGATGTTGGGACCCAGTTCATATGAAAAACTGTTGTTGAATTGGTACCACATGCATATAGAGTCGAGGTGTTGTCACATTGCATACGAGTTGGCATTTGTGAGTTGGTGATTGTTGTGTGAATACATTACTTGTTGATGATTA